TCCAACTTATTCAATAAATATTCAGAAGATTAAAAGTAAAAATCATTTTTGCTTAACAAAACCAATTCCAATTTGCAATAATAAATCCGATTTGTATCAAATTTTAATGAATAAATTCACTTTGTAGGATTAAAATCTGATACATCATTCATCATAAATTCAGTAAAATATTGCTCAACATTGCATGTACACAAAGTCAGTCCCACAAATCCCCACAACAAAGCAAAAAGTTCATAATCTCATATCAATAATTGCACTTTAAAAGTTTCTTCCTTTTGATGCACTCGACTATCTACTTTTTACCATTCACAACTTCATCTATCTAGCTAGCAACAATAATTTTTCTATATCTATAAAACAAAAGTAGCAACAACAAAGCATTTAAAGTAAGAGAGAAAAGCAACAAACCGAGAGGCATCAAGGAACAAGTGGGAGGAATATCGAAAAATAATAGAAAATGTTTCAAGCCTACGAGGAAAAATCTAATTAAATTTAATTGATTTATACTCAATAATAAAATTTTTTATCTAATAAAATGGTCGACTTTTCTTTGTGTCGTACTGTGTGTGGATGTATAGTCATAACATAAGTGATGATATATATTTTTTTGAGCTGGGTATTGACCGATTTTGAGATGATTTTTGATGCTTAAAAGGAGAATTATTTTAGATAATTTTTATGGGACAGAAAATGGCTTTGATTTGGTGCTTTTGACTGTCAGGGTTGGGATGGTCTTGGGTTAACTGAATTAGTTTGGTGAATTTTACTTTAAGGTACTCAAACTTAAATCATTGAGCTTATTTGAACTTTTTAAATCGAATTCATCTTAAGGTTGATGCAGCAGCTAGCCAGGAGGGTCTGGGGTCACCCTTAAAAGTTGTAAACCATTGCTCACATTTTTAAAGTGGGCAAAAGCCTCTGGTATGAGCTTGAGGTCAGTTTGGAGTAGCCATCACTGTTCTAGCTTATTAAATCCATTGATTATAGCCTAAATGCATCGACCTGGCTCAATTTTGACTTCTGATTATTAAAATTACTTAAATTCAAGACGTGGAAACTCAGGATTAATCCTGAAAAATCCCAAAAATCCCTTAGCCAATAAACATGGAAATGTGAAATTCTTTTTAAATCCCTAATTCATTTGATGAGTAACTTCGTGATTTCACATTTTCATGTTTATTGGCTCAGAAATTTTTTAAGGATTACTAGGATTTTTCAGGATTAATCCTGAGTTTCCACGTCTTGCTTATATTCAACACAACTAGTGTCTCAACTCTGTGTCTTTGACAATCTCAACTTTTATGTCCGTGCTGAAGTCATAAATTTGATTTAATCTTCGAAAAGACAATTTGAAAGGAAACTTTTTAAGACAGGATTTTATTGGATTTACGATTTTTTCTCCTTTTGAAAACAATTCTGAATAAAAATAAAGTGGATTTTCAGGATTTAAGTATTAGTAAAGAGTTTTAAAGATTGGCGGTGGGTTTAAATTGAAAATTTTATAAGATTTGTTCTTAAGTTCTCGATTTGATTGAACCAAGAAGGGTGTGGCAATAATGAAATGATCAAAAATGATCAAAAAATGATCAAAAATGATCAAAAAATTATCAAAAAATTATCAAAAATGATCAAAACTGATCAAAAAATGATCAAAAAATGTTCAAAAAATGATCAAAAATGATTAAAAAATGATCAAAAAATTATCAAAATGCAAACTTTCAGTTCCGAACACTTGAAAGCTTCCAAATACCAACAAATTTAACCTCAATTCTTCACTTATTTACAAAATTCAATCAACAATCCTAACATCTCCTCATTCCTCATTAAATTAATTGGAAAAAATCTCAATCTTTACTGTGCTAAGATGCTTACAGCATTAAATATTTAAAATACAGAATGAATGAATTTTGATAGACAGATGATTCAACTTTATTATAAAACTTTTCTGAAGCATATCCCATGTCCATTAGAAATTAAACTAAATGATGAGCTTTAACCCAAATAGAATTTGGATTTTCTTATTTACTTTTCTGGTTGAGGAGGTTATACCTTTTTTTATTTGGCAAGGGATGGGAAACTTTTTTGGAAATTGAATTTATTGGAGTTGGAGGAACTAAAGGGCTGGTTGACAGGAGGAGAAATCTAGGCTAAGCCTGGTTTTTAAGGCTGCCCGGAGCACGATGCTTTATTATATTACATCGAATATCATTTCTAACCACTTTAGGATCCTGGGTAGCTCTAGAAACTGGCTCTTGAATATCATGGGTGTTCCCTTAGGCAGTTTTAGGTTGAAATTCCAGAATTCTAACAATTTTATGACATAACTGGATGACAAATTTCAATTTACTCATTATCAAGACAAGGATGGATGTTTACAATTCAGAATTTTTGGACTCAAAGTGTTTAGATGAATTAAGACGAGTTTCTTGTGTATTAACCAGAGAGCGAAGTCGACTCGAAATTTGTATGAAGTCGAGTGAACTCAAGTCGACTTTTCCATACAAAATCCGAGTCGACTTCGCCCTCTAGTATTTACTTTGGTACATCATTTCCACACTGATATAAACAAGTAAGTTACTTCCTACATCCAAATGATAAACACTCTAGTTGCTGGAAAGTCACTTTAATTAAAAAAAATCCTTTATAAAAATGTAATTCAGATCGTGAACCTTCTGAAAACTCCCAATAAAGTGTCCATCCCTTGCCATCATCCCAAACATCTTTTGCTTTTAATTCTCAAAGTTTTTAATCATTTATTCACCGTAAAGAGGATAAAATAAGAATTAAACTTTTTATTTCAAATCCATTTAATGCTGTGTGAGAATCTTTATGGAGCTCTCATAAATGATGTCACAAATAGGGAGGAAGGAGTGATATACAGAGCTCTAGAATAGTTTTTGTGGCACGGCAACTTGAGTGGCAAGTTTTGCCGAATAGGGCACACCGAGCAAAGTGTACCGCGACACATAAGTTGGCCATCACTGCTCTAGAACTTTTGTATTTTATAAAAAAAATTGCTGTTATTCTTGTACGTCATTTATGAATGATTCCCAAAAGGATTTACACTAAAAAATGAAAAATTGACCCTCGAGTCACTTTTGAAACTTTTTCTTTTTTTTTCATTTTTCCTTCCTGTCTCAAAGTTCTTTAAGTCAGCACATCCAAAATTCATTCATTTCAACGCGTTTTTAACCAGAATTTTTACTTCTTTTTGTGCCTTAAAAATTTTTTTTGCTTATTTTTCCAAAACTTTTTGCCTCAAGAACGTAAATAATTAATTTAATATACGTTCAATTTGACTCGCCATAAGCATCCATAATTACGGTATGAAAATTCTAATTGATTCTAAGAACATAAAGAAGCCACTTCCAGCTACAAAAACAGTCATTAATGATGAAGATTTCAAATGAAAATAAAAGTAAGAGAATTAATTGGATTTAAATTGAATTTGTGGCAGTAAAATGGATGTAGCAGACGAATGAAGGTAATGCGCAAATTATTATGCATTGTAAATGGAGGGAGTTTATAAATTTCAAATTGAGTGAGCTTTAGTGATCACTTGAGTGACTTTGTTGAAGAATTTGAGGTTCATTAAATTTCTGTATTTAATTTGGAATTATTTTGAGATTATGTAAATGTGTGGAACAAGAAGTTTATGAAAATAAGATATTTTTTGGTTGTGTATTCACCAAGGAGTCTCCTAACATATGTAGCCTGGTGCTATATATAGCCTTACACCATCATTCACCTTCTCGCGTTAAGAGGCCGTTAATCCAAGCCACATAGTGTAGCGGAGACCAACGGAGCTGTGTTTTTATAGGTTGCGTTGACTTAGCAAGCCACCAACCTTAATCTCATCCCAAGCAACCCCAAACAAAACCAAAAATTTATCAGGGAACAATTTTTTGACTCCTCGAGGTTGTTTGCAGTCAAACTATATTAACATCTTAAAGTGGAGTGTACTGAATATCGATTCTTGGATTAAGGACTCAAAGGAGCTCAAAAAACGAGCTATAGAGCTCCATTCTTCTCATTCTAGGATGTATAACTAGGGTATATCCGAGAAATCAAACTATGAAGAGTAGTTACTCATTCTGAATAGCATGTGGCACCGAAAAGACTAATAATGTGACATAAAACTAGTCTGTTTATCGGATTTTTATGATTGTTGGTCAAAAACGGGAAATGTCCTGATTTCAGGTCTTAAAAAGCGGCACAGACCAAATTTTCAAGCATTTTCTAAGAAAATAGGTTAAAAAAGCGGGACATTAAGGATTTTAGGCGGGATTTTGTTTAAATGAGCAGGGCTGTTGCGCTCAAAAGTGAACTGAAATTTCCTGATTGAGCTGACTCGTGAATTGGCTTAGTAAGGACCTCATTCGAAAGGTCGCTCTTAGTTCGGTATAGGAAACCTCAAAAGTGACAGACTGAAGTCAATTCCAAGCCAAACTTAGCTTTCCAGCAGCGACATGTTAGTCACAAGGGCAACTATTCAATGAAGTGCCCACTAGGACTAGCAAAGGCTATATAGCAGGGGTCAGGATGCGTAGTCAAGATGATTTTAGGGATTTGTCATTGTTAACTTGCCAGGATTATTGGAAAAATTACAAAAATCCAATATATAGTCTTATAGATTCAAATCTTGAGGATACGTGTAAGGAACACCTCGAAAAGTCAACCAAGATTCCATCCATTAGACATCCAGAAAAGAATCAATGACCTGAACAGCATGTTATAATGTGAAAACCTTCACAAATGACATTTATTCTCAATATTGAATAATATTTGTTTTTTCCTCAATTTTTCTTTTAATCTCTGTCATATACCCAGCTCAATACAATAAGGCCTACAGCCATGATTTTCAAATGAAAACAATGTCAATGTACATAATAAAATTTCCAGTGGTGAAAAATGTCGATGAGAAAATAATGAAAAAATATAAAATGATAAAAAAAATGTTTCGTGAAATTTCAATTTTTTGTTGTTGTTGTTGTTCCTACCTTAAATAACTGAACTCCTATAACAGCAAACATAAATTGCAGTAAACATGTAACAAGTACGATATTTCCAATAGTTTTTACAGCCACAATTACACATTGTACTACATGCTAATGAACATTAAATAATATTTTTGATTTTTTTGATTTGCATTTGAAATAATTCGAAAAAATGAAGAAAAAAAAAGTAAAATAAAATAAAGAAAAATTAAAATTTTAAAAAAGAAGTGAATTAATTAAAATAAGTTTTTAGAGAAAAAATAATATTTAAAAAATATTTTAAAAATATTATTAATGGGTGTCGTTTTAATTAAGAAAAAATATTATAAAATAATTCAATTTTTGGTAATTTTGAGCAGTGGTTAACAACCTTTTTTGTGCCACGGCACTCCTTGGTGTTAAGTTTTAACTGAATAATCATGGCATATGAATCGCTGGATTTCTTGAAACACCAGAATGCCACGGCACATGGGTTTTCCAACACTGCTTAATCCTGAGATACAACCATTAATGGACATGATGGCATACATGAGCCAATAATTAAAAATTTCAAAACTTCTATTTAAAAAAATCCAAAATTCAAAAAGACTCCCATTAATTAAATTTCAAAAAAATAAAAAAAAATTCTAAAATTAATGAAAATTGAAGTTTTTTTTGAGATAATTTAATATAAATTTTTAAACTTTTTGATAAATTTGAATTTAATTCAATGCTAAAAGTTTGTTTGATGTTCTTAATCTTTAATCAACTTTATACTTTATCAGATAAATACCTTTAATCCTTTGGCACGATTGATAGCACGCAGTGGACGTAAGACACGAAAAACTCGAAGAATTTTCACAGCCGACATGGCTTCGGAGCTGAATTTTGTATGGGAAAAAATAATAAGAGATAGTTTAGAAAATTATGCTTAGGCTAAGGTCAAATGACTTGGACAAGAAGTTCTGAGGTTGTTCACTTATGACGTCCATCAAAATACATGATTTTTAAACCCTTCTTTTCCGCTTCTGTCACAAAATGTATGTGAAAAAACTTTTCTTTTGTTTGAGCTATCACAAAAGCTGTCACCCCTTCTTAATAATGTCAGACGTCATAAGTGAACGACCCCTTATGTAATATCAAGCTTTCAGGGCAATTAAACAAAGATTTTACACTATAGCTTTTATAGACTAGAAAGTGAAGTTGACTAAGCTTACGTTACATTCAAATCGATTCCAGCCTACTCATAACCTCAATCTGCTTCACCCATCAAGCCTGAATCTTACAGCTAAAGATTTAACAATTCCAATTTATACTTACTCGCCAACAAATGAAGACAATGAAACACAAACGACAAGTAAGTCGAGTAAATTGAACGCGGAACGACAAAAGGCTCCTTTGTGTAGAATAAACCCGTAAGAGACGAGCCGTAACAACAGCTCGATTGTGAACACTGTGGTGAAAAAGACATCAAATTTGTTTAGAATCTGTGAATTAGAGATGAAAAATTTTAGATTTAACTGGTTAAGATTTGATTATTAGACGGCTAGAGTGGAGCTAATGGAGCATAGTTGAGCGACAGGTCGCTCAGGTGACAAGTCTTTCATAGTCGACAGGCAAATGACAGATCGCAACCTCTGCATTGGAGCCAGGTTTATGGGTGAACTTGGAGTATGCTTGTGCCAAATAAAACACTAGAAACCGGTTCAGATCCTCTCTGACTTGCCCTTGACTGCCGGCTGCTCGAATTGACTGTTGGAGGTTATTTAAGTATACAAACAGTGTGACTAAGTTATGACTAGTCAATAACCAACAGTCAACCTAAGAACACATGTCCCCTGAACCCTTGAGTCTGTCTTGAACCACTTCGTCAACCATCTTACCAAATTTCGATCATCATTAGCATCCATTGGATTTTCAGCAGCTAACATAACGGACGACAACATAATGCACGCCAAGATAATGTTGCCAAACTGAGCGTGATTGCAGAAGCTGTGACAAAAAACTCGAAACCTGTGAAATTAAACAAATTTTTTCAATATGAATTTTCATTAAAATCATTTTTTTTTTCATCGAAAACTTTTTTATTTCCACAACTCAGCACACGTTAAAAAAAATTGTGTTTTTATATCGTCATTCGGATGTTCATTCATTAGAAAAATAAAATATCAAAATAAGCGTATGTGTTTGTATGTTTGTGCATGTGTAAAAGCTTTTGATATTTATGAGTAAACCATGTCGATGTGATGTGATAAAACTGAAAATTCAATTAAAACGCAATCAAATTACAGTGATGATGGTTGGTAAATTTGTGAACCATTTTGAAATTTTGGAAAATCATTTGGAATTTTTGTGAACCATACTGAATTTTTGAAAACAATTTTTAAATTTTAGAAAATCATTTTGAATTTTCGTGAACCATTTTGAAATTTTGGAAAATCATTTGGAACTTTTGGGAACCATTTTGAATTTTTAAAAATCATTTTAGATTTTGTTGAACCATTTTAGATTTTTTCGAACAATTTTTTAATTTTAGAAAACCATTTTGAATTTTTGTGAATTATTTCGAATTTTTGCAAACCATTTTTAAATTGTAGAAAATCATTTTGAATTTTAGCAAACCATTTTTAAATTGTAGAAAATCATTTTAAAATTTTGTGAACCATTTTCTTAAATTCTCATGTTTGATAGACATCATTTATCATTAACTTCAATCACCCCAACAATTAACCATCAAATTCCATCCTAAACCACTTCCTAAATTGCCTTCGACATTTTTCCCTCCAAAATCACTTCCACAATAATTTTTCTGCTTCCCTATTTCATGTCACATAAAAATGCCACAGCCGTAATTTCAGTACAACAATGACTGTCTCGTTTATCCGAGCATATATCACACATAACCTCACATTCTTCCCAGTTCTCTATTTTTTGTCATTCCCACTCCAAAACCCATTTTTCTATTTTTAATTACATTTCCCAAGCCATTCACAATCGTGTGATGTCAGTACGTTCTATAGTCGCAGTAATAATCAATAAAAATTCATAAAAACAGTGCAGAGACAAAATGGAGAGGAAAGGAAGGAAAAAATGGAGTATGGAAAGGGATTAAAAATAGAATGCGAGCTTAAGTGTTGTTGGATATTAAAAGAATGTAATGCTCTTTTATGCTTTTTGGTCATGAAACTGTCGATGATCTCTTAAATTGGGCAATTTTTGTGGTATTAAAGCACATGCTTTAGACATTTTTGGTACCAATACCACACAGATTACATGACTTTTGGGTATCTCAGTACCAAAACCGCATGTTAAACACGACTTTGAGTCTTTTGGTACCAAAGCCGCACTACTTTTGGGTCTTTGTCACCAAAACCGCACAAACGCACTACTTTGTGGTTTCTGATTCAACTTTTGGGTCCTTTGTCACCAAAACCGCACACAACGCACCACTATGAACCTCTTAGACTCCGAACCTTCAAAACCAGACTTTTCCCTACTTCAAAGCTCCATCCAAACTGCATCATCTTAACATCCTCAACATCCACAAATTTCCAGCTTATATGAAAAAATTCCCATGTGCGATGAAACATAAAAATCCATTTACAACGGAATTGGAAGTCGATTAATGGTAAAATGTCATGCCAAACACAAAATTTATGTGAATGTGTGCATTCACGTCGCGGAATTGAGCTTGATTTTATTTGAAAATTGCGCGAGAAAATTTACTTTTTCCGCAGTCAACATGAAAAGCTGCATGAAATGGAACGAAAAATAAGTTTTTTTTTGTTTATTGAAAAAAAGTCAAATTGATTGAATTTGCAGGATGAATTAGACACTTGAGTTGATTGATAGGTCGATTTCGAGTGGCAATTGTGTTGAAGGAAGTAATGCAGTGCTGATATGCTGGTGGGTTTTAGTCAAAAGTCGTGTGTAGAACACTACTATGGAAAATATTTGATAATTAATGTCTAGAATAGTGTACAACATACGACTTTGGTGACTGATTAAAGATTGGTGTCAAAAATGGTGTACAGCGCACTACTCTGGTGACTAATGGAAGATGCGTGTCTAAAATAGTGTGTTGAGCACTACTTTGGGATCAAATTCAAGATTGGTGTTAAAAATGGTGTGCAGCGCACTACTTTGGGATCAAATTGAAGATTGGTGTTAAAAATGGTGTGCAGCGCACTACTTTAGTGACTAATGGAAGATTTTTGTCTAAAGTAGTGTAGAGCACACGACTTTGGTAACAATTTAAAGATTGATGACTAAAATCGTACAGAACACACGATTCTTATGCTTCATTCCCCCATCGTCCTTAAATAACATCTTATCCATCCACTTGATCGCTTGAAAAGTAAACGGATAAACCATAATCACCTGACCTTTACTCACCTCCCAACATTCAACCTCAATAATGACTTAAGGGACCAAAGTGTCACCTCAATAACGATAAAAATCCACAGAAACATGATTTACTTGATAAATGAATGGAAAACAAGTCTGACGGAGGTTTTGGAGAAGGAAGAAGAGCTGAAGAGTGAAAAAGTAAACTTGTATAAAAATTTATGGAAAACAAGATTCAAGCTATTGTGATAATTTCTCTCGTGAGAGGCATCAAAAATTGATGCTGAACAGCATTTTTTGGTAAATCATGGAATGGCTATAAAAATGGTAATTTTAACTGTGGCTTTATAGTGATTTTGTGGATGTCAGGAATGCAATTGTGAATATTGGTTATTGAGTTGTGTCAATAGTCGTGTGATTTGCACTACTTTTGACTTTTTAGGGTGATAAACTGAAGATCTTGTGTCTAAAGTCGTACACTTTGCACCACTCTAGGTTATCAGTGTCTAAAGTCGTACATGCAGCACCACTCTTGGTTACTTTTGTCTAAAGTCGTACATTCAGCACCACTCTTGATTATTTTTGTCTTAAGTCGTACATTCTGTACCACTTTTGGTTACTTGTGTCTAAAGTCGTACATTCAGCACCACTCTTGGTTACTTTTGTCTAAAGTCGTACATTCAGCACCACTCTTGGTTACTTTTGTCTAAAGTCGTACATTCAGCACCACTCTTGGTTACTTTTGTCTAAAGTCGTACATTCAGCACCACTCTTGGTTTCTTGTGTCTAAAGTCGTACATTCAGCACCACTCTTGGTTACTTGTGTCTGAAGTCGTACTTTCAGCACCACTCTTGGATATTTTTGTCTAAAGTCGTACATTCAGCACCACTTTTGGCTAATTGTGTCTAAAGTCGTACATTCAGCACCACTTTAGGCTCCTGAGGTTCATAAACCACACTTAATTACCACCAATAAATGTCAATAGTCGTGTACTTTACACCATTTTCAACAAAAAAATGCTTTCCATTCCCAAAAACTCAAAATCAATACTTTTTCCCCAACTTCCTTGTTGTCTGTTCTGTAAAGGTAGATAAATGTTTGTGGAGATGGAAAATATATAAATTTCCCAAAAAAGCGATTGCAAAATAAACAAGATGAAAAAAAAACAACATTTTCGGAACTGATGGAAATTTTATGTTTGTGAAAATTGCGGAATTGATGCGATTTGATAATTTTATGGTTTATGTTCATGTTGAATTTAAAATGAGACATAATTTTATGAGAAAGATATGAAATGAATTTGAAATTTGTTTGTTTGTTCTATGCAAATTTTCAGTGTTAATTGCTGTTTGAGATGAAATCTCGCTCGGTTTGGTTAGAGCTTTTAAATTGAATAATTGAATTTTAAATAAGTTGTTATTGAGTCGTAGTCTGTGTGCGACTTTTGTTGATTCATTGCAGGGTACTATAGTAGTCATGTCTGTGCACCCAAAATCGTATAGTGTACACGACTCTTGACATTTTTCTCTTCTTTACACCAAAGCTGCACGCTACATGAGACTTTTGATACTGTTCCCTTCTATTTACCCCAAAACCGTATGCTGCATACGACTTTTGACACTATTACCTCCCTTGTACCCCAAAACAGTACGCTGCACACGACTTTTGACACTATTCCCTCCCTTGTACCCCAAAACCGTACGCTGTTTCTGACTTTTGACACTATTCCCTCCTATGTACCCCGACACTACACGCTGCATACGACTTTTGATTCTGTTCCCTTCTATGTCCCCCAAAACCGTACGCAGCATTCGTCTTTTGTCATCATTCCTTCTACTGTACCCTGAAACTATGCAGCAGACGACTTTTGACATTTTAAATTAAAATTTTCATCCAAAATCAATTGAACATCAGCAACTGCTCAATAATTCATAAATTCATCGAAAATTCCACACAAAATATTCAATTTTTCCAACCCAATCGACTTAAAAGCTCTTAAAATTATTCTCATTTTCCATCCCATTCCACAATTTCTTCATTTATCTTCTTTTCTGTCATCAATTTTCTATTATTAGATTTTAAAATAAAACCTCACAAAGACCATTGATTCATAAATAATATCCCCGCAGTCACATTTAATTCCCTTCACGTTCCACAACATTATTCATTTGTTGCTTCACTCCAATTTGCCCTGTTGCAAAACGGCAACAGCAATGACAGCAAGGCACTTAAAGTTTTGAAAGATTTTTAATGGATGTGATGAGAGGTTTCTTGGAATCTTTGTTGATTGCTGTTTATAGGTGTGAAGTTATGGATATTTAAAGCTTTGAATCAAGTCTTTTAATTGGTGTACATTAGGCCAGTGTTGTCCAAACTGTGTGCCGCGGAACACTGATGTGACTATAGAAAATTTTTGGTATTGACGCAAGCCGCATACTCTGTGTGACTCTTGTCATGGCTTACCCGTGTGCCTTGGCTCAAAAACTTTGGACCACACTGCATGAAGGTATATGCCAGTGATGACCAACCCGTGTGCCACGGCACACCAGTGTTCAGTGAAAATTTTGGGATATTCCACGACCTTACGTTGTGTGCGGTTTTGGTCATGGCTAACCACTCAGTTTGCAGTGACACAAAAAAGGTTGGCCACTACTGGAGTAGAAGT